ATCCCCTTAACCACATTTTAATCCTTATCATTACATTTGATTCAAATAATTTAAATTTAAATTAACCGTTATTGTGTTTTCGGAATTTAAATATCTGAAGTTAATTTTGCGCTAATTAGTAAAATTTTTTAAATTGTTTATGAATTTACAAATTTAATTTAATAATTATAGATATAATGGGTTATGGTATGCAGCACCATTGTCTACTCAAAAACTATTATTATTTATAATGCAAAGAGGAAGAGAAAACCTTACCATATCGTGTTTCAGCATATTTATTGCATCCTTGGATGGTTTCGCAACAGTAAAATTAAAAAATTTGTTATAGAAAAGAAAATTGAACTATTTACTAATGTTGATGTACTACATGGAGTAATATTTATTTTTCAGTTGACAAGTACGGCAGTATCCTACTTCACAGTAATTTATTCTACACGACAATAATAATTCAAAAGAAAAAATTAATTTTTAATTATTTAGGTTTTTATGAAATTTATATTATTGTGTAACGCGTGTGCATAAAAATGTATTAAATATAAGTTGCTAACATTACGTAAATGTACTTTTTACTCGTAATACTTGACACCAGGGATTGAAATGGATAATTTTTTTTCATTTATGTCATGTCTTTGATTTTTATTTTCCATTTTTTAAATTATTTTTTATTTTTATCAAATTGCAACTTTTATTTCCTAGTCAATTGCTTTAAAAATCTCACATGAGAGTTACTTTTAAGAGAAACAAATCACTCAAAAATAAAACTCAGCCTGATTTATTGACTACAAAACAACAATTCGTCACTGTTATGGTGACACATTTTACAGGATTTTTGTACGCTTAATCGAAAAAGACCATAAAGAAATGAAAAAGAATAACCATTTAATAGTTATATCTAAGTTGTCATGGAAAATGATGGTATATCTAATTTCATGGAACCCAATGAACATGAAATAATACATGGCTTAGATCAGAAGTATTAAAACTTTATTACTTAGAATGTCAAAAATCAGTTTTTAAAAACGGAAATAAGTTACTAAATTTAGAATTTTTATGGCAATATCTGATCACGTGTAGAAGAAATCAAGCAAGCAGTTTTAAAAAAAAATACATTGGGTTGGGAAGGTCTCTTTTACGAATTCGCCTGACCTAGCATCTTCGGATTGTCATTTATTCTAGTCGATGCAGCATGCTTTAACCGAACAGTGCTTTTGAGATGTTCAAAAATGGCTCGACGATTTCTATGCTACCAAACCATGGTTTTTTTTCACAACGCGACCCGAAAGTTATTATAGAACTTACCAGGTAGATAATGAAGGACAATATTTCAGAGATTTATTGTCTTTATGAAATTAAATTATGTTTATGAAATTAAAAAAGTGTAAAATTTTGTATACACCTAATAACTATTAGAAACTTCTTTTGATACATGATTTTATGTATCGAGAAAATTGACATATAATGTAGTATTATTAGGCATATTTGACATAACACGTTTGATTAATAAATTTCATAGATGCGATATGTCAGTTTCACTAATTGTATATTCTTTTTATACATTTACTTTTCATATATAAACTATAATTATTCGAAGATGTTGAAGGAGGCTTATAATTCTGTTTTCTAAATAATTGAATAAACAATAAAATTTTATAATTTATAATATTCTTTGTAGTTTATTCGTTATTTCAATACGAGGTTATTTCGCGAGTGCTGCAATGTACTGTTCGACGGTTGGAAGAAGACTGATATGTCGTGCGGTTCATTACAGAGCATGCGTTTTCACTGCGCATGTGTGTTAAAATTATGGAAAGTGGTAACATAAATCATCTTCTAAGAAGAAAACTCTTATAGCAATTTAGTTAAATTACGTTTTCTTTTTAGTCTTCTTATTATTCGACAAAAATATCGATATGACTATAATTTTTCCGTCGAAATAACTTCAGTCTATATCATACACTTATTGTAGCAAATATTAATTCCTCAACAAAAATATAATTTACCATTTGTTTTGTTTCTCAGATAATTTAAAGGATAGGAAATAGTGTGATGTTAAACAAACATTTATGTTAATGTATACTCCAATGTTTTGCTATTCACTTGTAATTCGTCTTCAGTGCAACATGCATCTAGTCGAAGAACATTATTATACAATCAATAAAGTCTTTTTAAAGGTTCTTGGTATTTGGCCTCATGACAGATCGCGATTTGTATTTTTGAAGCGGGTTCTGATCATTACTTTAAGTGTAACATATATTATCTTAGAGGTAATTCTTTATAAATTTACAGTAATTCTTGTAATTTACTATATATATTATAATTATAATTTTTCAACAATTACTTTCTTTAATAATTTTTTATTATAATAATTTAAAATAATTTAATGAGAATAAAATATGTACCTATATTAAAAGTACTACAATAAATAAAGTCAACGTTAAAATGTTTATTTGTTTTATGATATACTGTTATGATAATCTATTGTAATTATAAAATTTATTGCTTCTAGTTATCAGTTTTTATTAGTACGAGATATGATATGGATCTCTTCATTCAAACTATGATGCTTATGTTTCCCTTTATAATAATTACAGTAAAGTACTGCTCTTTCATCTTAAAATCAAAATCTGTAAGTCACTTCTAAATCTCTTTACACAAAAAGAAGTTTTAATTTTTTAATTTACTTTTAAGAAATGCTAATCAAACTAATAAATATTTAAATGACAGATACAAAATCTACATTATCTAATCCGAGAGGACTGGAAGATAATACAAAATAAATTAGAAATTAATCTTATACTGAAATATGCTCATTACAGTAAAATTTATGCTATTTCTCTGTTCCGTAAGAAAACATGTCTTATTAATCTTCTATATCATCCTCTAATTCATCATAAAAATAGTATTTTAAAATTAAAATTGTATAAATCATATTTAAAAAATGCTTACGCTACATTGTTTTTCTATGATAATATTTAAGAAACAGAAGTTACGTCTGTCG